CAAGCCCAACCCTTATGAGATGCACAAGTAAACTTCAAAGGGCTTGGACGTGTCTGGAATGATTACTACCGGAGCGCTCGTTAATTCACTTTCAACACTTTTCACTCCTGAAAACGCTCCGCACACAGATCAGTCCCGCAACGGTTGACTCCTTTCCTAGTCAACTGAGTTAGCGTGGCTACTATCTTAGCAAATCCTTCAATAAAACGCCTATAGTAGCCCGCGAGTCCCACAAAGCTACGAACCTCAGCGACCGTACTCGGACTCTTCCAATCCAACACCGCTCGCACTTTAGCTGGATCTACGGAGAAACCTCCAGCCGACACACATGTCCCAAAAATTGCACCTCCTCCTTCATCCAGAATTCCGCACTTTGACACTTTGCATATCATTCCGTCTCACGTATCTCCAAGTACAATAAGATGTTCTCATGCTCGTCTTCTGTCTTGAATAGACGAGAATATCATCTAATTAAGACGACTACAAACTAGCCAAATAAGGCCTGAAGATGCGATTCATACTCCATGAACACGGCTTGGAGCGTTCGTCACTCCAAATGGCATCACCACTTATTCATAATCCCCATACCGCGAACCTGAACGCTGTCTTATGAATATCATCCTCCTTAACTCTGATTTGATGATAATCCGGATCTCAAATCAATCTTTGAAAATAACTGGCAACCCCATGCAAGTTGATCTAGTAAGTCATCCTGCTCCTTCGGCAATGGGTATTTGTTCTTGATGGTCAGCTTATTTAACTGCCTGTAATCTATGCCAACCGAGAGCTGCCATCCTTCGTCTTCACTAAGAGGACAGGCGCTCTCCCCATGGTGACACCTCGGTCTAATAAACTGCTTGTCCAAGAGTTCTTCAATTTGTTTCTTCAATTCGGCCAACTCTGCAGGCGCCATTCGGTACGGTTGAACCGAGATAGGTGCTGCTGTCGTCACCAAATCTATGGTGAATTCAACTTCCCGAACAGGAGGCAGTCCAGGGATCTCTTCCGGAAAGACGTCTGGAAACTCGTCACTACCGTTCGTTCAATAACCTTAACAACCAAAACCGCCCTCTCCTGGACGTTCGTTCTTTTCCTAATTCTCCGAACTCCTGATCTTCATGTGTCATGATCAGGAAACAGCTTGCTCCTTCCATTATATCCTCCTCTAATTGACCGAGCGTTATTGAAAATTCTTCTTCTTCTTCATCCGGAAACACCAACTCTTTTTTCCCACAATCTATGAGGATGTGATTGGTAGCCAACCAATCCATTCCTAGAATCACCTTCCAACCCTTGAATAGGTAGGGGGCAGATGAGATTAACCTTGGTACTTACGCCTTCTTCCAATTCTATAGAACACCGACGCACATGTGGAACGTCCTAACCTCTCCAGCCGTGGTGTTGACACCACCAGATCGAACGGCATCTCACTCACTTCTAATCCCATCTTGCAAACTCACGCCTTCGAGATGAAGGAATGCGTTGCTCCCGAATCAATAACACGCAGTCAAGATTTTACCAACACAAGGGCAGTGCAATGATCAGTGTACCTGAGTTGGCTGCCTCTGCACCAGTAATAGCGTACACACGCCCAGCTGCTTGAGCTCGTCCTCCTCTAGGCTTATTTCTGCCAGCATTTGGTGGCCTCATCACTGCCCGTCCACCCATTTACAGTCATTTTCCAATTGTCCGTTTTCGGCCCACACCGATACAGTTGCTTTCACGCACTCCCACCAATTGAGGACAGACAAACGTAAGTGTGGTCCTCCACACTGAAACACGTAACATTTCCATACTGACCAGCTCGTCCAGCAGGAACTAAGCTTAGAACCCGCTCGCAATTAGTGGCTGGTTTGGACGAGCGTACGGGGCTCTCTTGGAGTACCATTGGCCCCTGGAAACTGTAGTCCCTCTACTCACTTGTTGTTGCTTCTTGTGCCTTTCCGCTTCTGCCATGTTCTTCTCTAAAACCTTGGCCCTTTCAACCATGGCAGGAAACGTCCGTATACCCAAGCTGGAGATCAAAACCTCAAGTCACTCCGCAGTCCGTTTTCAAACTTACGGCACTGCCATTCTTTCGTTTGTGGCCATCGTGTTGAAACGAACCAAGTGTTTGAACTTGTTCGTATATTCAGAAATAGACATCCCGCCTTGGACCAGTTGAAGAAACTCCACCTCTTTTGCAAACCGACGCTATCAGAAAATATCGTCGTAGAATTTACCACCTAAACACTTCCCAAGTAATAGGAGTTTGAGCGTGCTTTCAAGAGAGCTTTCACGCTCGTCCCCAGTGGTTCGCCTCACCGTCCAACAAATACTCAGCGTACGCCACCTGTTCACATCTGGCAGCGTTTTGGCGTTGAAAATCTCTCTCAATATCTCCCAGCCACTGATAGCCTCATCAGGGATGCACTTCCCACTGAACTTGCTGGGTGATGCTGGCAGGAAGCTCTCCAAACTCCACTCGCAGCAGGTTTGAGCACGTTTTAAGAAGATGCTCCACCAGTCGCACTCTAGTTGCACCAGATTTCCCATCAACTTCCTTTGCGTTTTTTCAGAATTGACACGCGAGGCCTCCAAACCTTGCATAGCAGCTTGGTTTTGCTGCATCAGGGTGGTGTTTTGCTCCAGCAACGTGGTGTTCTGTTGATGCAGTCGTTTCACTACGGTTTCCAACAACCTACGTTGCTGGACGTATCGGACTCATTCGGTTGGGGAGGAGAGGAAGTCTAGGCGCCATTAGTTCTCTGGATCAGAGAAAAACGAGCGTTAGTAAAGTTCGAGAGTTAAAACAATAACTCATTACACATAATAAGCACACAGCAAAAACGTAGTGCACTCATAACCTACAGTGTTCCTTAAAAGAACAAAACTGCTTCTGATACCACTAAAGTACAGCCCAAAATACAGTAATTACCCATAAATCAGATTAATTACAATTAACAGTATCACACACAGTCTTTACAATAAACCCAAAACTCACACAGCGTTTAAAAAGCCGAACGCTTGAATCTAAAGAACTACGCCTAAAATACAATCAGAGATGGTTAAGACGCACGGCCTTACAAAATAATTTGCCGAACGTTCATACTATACTAACACGCACGTAACTATTCTAACTAGCACTCTAAGGCTCGGCCTTTACTTCAACCTCCACCAAGGTTAGCTTCCATCAATTTTCTTCTTCCACACTTGCTCAAGGGAAGTACCATCATCTGCTAATCCACACGGATGATCATTGGCATTTGACAGACGGAGGTACATATACAAGACAACACAATGGAAATGCAAGGTAAGCGTTAGAAGATTTAATTTATACAATCAACCACATACATTTACATTTCAAAACCCACAACGCAAGGTGGTTCATCAAATAATAATCATAGAAAAATGTAATTAAGACATGACCGTCCGGACGTATGAACCGTGTAGCTACAGGCGTCCGTGCCACCCGAGTGGATTTAGTAACTGGGATACCCTAACAGCTCTTCACTCAGGTTAATCCTTCGCCCGCTAATGAGGGATACAAAGACATCCTGGCATTCCGCACATATGACTACTCATCTAACTTCTACGTGAAATGAGGCATCACGGAATATCAGGATGGCCAGCCAGCATTAGCATGCCCACAGTCATAACTTTACAAAACCAATAATCCAATCATATCTTGAACGTTCCTCCCTGGAACGCTCGTTAAAATCCATTTCCATAATTCGTTCACAATATCATTGCCCATATTAAACGGTTCTCATATTCACATTTCATCTGTGTTCCACTCTCTAAATCTCATAACGTTCATCACTAAATCAATAAGACTATCGTTACAGTACTCCTACATCCTCGTTTCTGAACAAAAGAAACGAACCCATTTATCCACTTAATACTTGTTCAACACTAACAATTTTGAAGGGTACTATCTTAGAAATATGGATGATACTTAGAAAGATTTTAAGTATAAAGAACTCCATTATAATCCAAATGATACAACCAGTAAGTAAATATTTAGGATAAACAAACCAATATATTAACTTCAGAAGACACACTGCAGTCAAAGAACGAACGTTAATAACAATTTGGACGAACCAGTTAACGTCGCATTTCAGATTCAATAACTACGGACGAGCGTTCAGTTATAAAACCGAACCCTCCTTAAATAAAACAACGCTGGGTCATGACCGAGCCATAAATCGACGAACGTTGGTATAAACCAGCGCTAATCTAGGACGAACGCTTCGTGTATAATTACCGAGCGCCCATTTGGGACAACTTTTATAAAATGACGAACTGCTCTGTAAAATGAACGTTCGACACAAAGTCGAATGACATCAAGACGAACCTCGCTTAATGCGCGAACGTCATTGAGGACGAACGCTCGCTTAAGGCCGAACGTCACGTATTTTATAAGTTTGCAAATTTTATCTAACTGACTGAACACGCTCATTCACAAAATTGGGGACCTCGTTCTCCTACAGAAAATTCCTTCCAATGAACGGAATTCCAATCTAAGTTTTTTGGCTGAACCCCGACGGTCTATGACCGTAACCGGGACGAGCGTCCTTATCAGAGTGGGAGATTAAAATTCCAGATTTCTCAAGTTTAACAGAACTTTGCCCAGATTTCAAATTATAACTTTTATACTTTCATGCCAGATTTATATTCATCCTAACATCATTCTCATACAGATTTCAAACATTTTAATCATCCAACTCTACCTAATCATACTCCATCATACGTAATCAAATCATCATGCATTTCAAACCACCAACAATATATACAATCCCCGCAAACGGTGATCTTCATGACAGATAAATCAAAATCAAAAGCCAATTCATAACATGGTCAATCAGTACAGCGCAACATCATGGCAGTTCATCTGCATCACCTAACAGTGATCATCCATACAACCAAACCTTACATTTTCATTCATACAACTCATGATTCACCAAAACTGCAGTATAAATTAAACACATAGCTTCCCTTACCCGGATTAGAATTCAAGCTTGTCCTAGAAGTAAAAATGGCTTTGTCCAACTAAGCTTTCCTCACGTTCTTGACTCTTCCAAACAAAAATCTAACCATGGAACACAGAACACTTAGAATACATGCTTGCATGTATGAAAAACTCTATTTTTCCAGAAACCTAAGGACGAACTACAGTAAGGAGACTTACCAGGTTGGATTTAATTTCTGTTCGGTCCAAAATGAAGATCACAACTGGACGAACACTCCTACGGTGCTGAAATCGTGATTGGAGAAGAGATATAAGTTTTTACAGTAAAAAGGAAGTTCACTGGTTCAAGAGAGAAGTTGGAGAATATGAAAGGGTGAATTTCAGAGGTTGAAGATGAGTTCGTGTAAGTGAAAGTGTGTTTTCGAAAAGTCTGATTTTGTTAAACTAACGTTAAATTGGAAGAACGTGTCACAGGTTGCCACATGCACACCAAACTCTGATTTGGAATTCTCTCCCGTGACACGTGGTGTGCTTGCATGCAAAGATTGGTGCATTTTTAATGTAGCAGAGAAATGATGGTGGCTTAAATTTTCGTGCACAGCAGAGGTGAAAATCAGAATTGGGAGTGGGTTTTAAATGGCTGGGAATGAGGTGGCAAGCATTAAGGGTGAGGTGTCAGGATCAACTTAAGCTAATTATTACGGATCTCACAATTAATCTTTAACATTAACCATCAACTTACTTACATATTACTAAATTTTAAATTAGAGTCTAATTTAATAATAAAGATAAATTATTATTAACTTATTTTCTTTGAATCATGATTGAACGTTGAATCAAATTTTGGCACGAAAGGTTGCATATATCTCCCCGTACATAATACATAGAAACAGAGTGATAAACAAAATATTGATAACTAAATCTTATTAATAAATAGCTAAAATTAAAACACATGTATAGTTTGAAATATTTAAATCCTAACTCTGTGTGTGTGTATAATTTTGAAAGCTATAAAGTAAAATATGATATGTTAAATTTTATTTATGGAACATAGAAGAAATGATGAGAATGAACAGTGGCTATGATAGAAATATGATTGTTGGCTGCTATACAAATGAATTAGCCTTATTATCGTGTGCAAAACAATGTTGCATTATTTGGAAGTGTGTTTGGTGTATCTATGGGCATTGAGGGTTAACATCTCCTCTGTAGGACAATTGAACACTGTTGCATGAAGCTTTGGCCCCTTCTCCATCTTCACGTTCAAGCTCTACGTTCTGCAACACTATCCCTTTGCATGGAAACTTCTCGCTGCACTCAAATTGCACACCCACATCAGAAGCACTTGTGCCTTTTATGTTTTCGTATAACACATTCCTAATCTGAACTGCAGATTTCTGCAACAACATAACCTAAGAATTAGGTCAAAGTTGTAGTTTTTTTTTTCTTTAAGTTAAAGACTGAAATCACAGAAAACAAAATTCAAAACTAAGACATAAAATGCTTGCTTAAGGTACAATGTCATTTAAAATAATGATTCAAATTCACTCATGATTACATGAATGGGTGAAAAATGTTAGAGAATCTGAATTATTTACTTGTTTTTTGCATGGTGTGGCTTGATCACAGTAATTTTGATCTATTATTATGGGATTCGTTACTTTGTCCATTTCAATGTTCTGAAACTTGATGTTGCTTGCACTTCCTGAACCTCCCTGCATGCATGCACGTACATAATAAATTAACTAAAATATATATACATATATATATACTCACTACAGTAAAATGGTTCTTCAAATATCAAATTACCTGCCATGTTTTAATTCTTACTCCATTTGTAGTTCCAGAAAATTTAGCTCCGTTTACCATTACTCCTGAAACAAAATCCTTGGATTTCGCAGACCCTAAGCTTCCGATGCTGATATCATTATTGCAAAAGAAGTCACATTTTAATTAATCATTTCAATAAAGAGTTCTAGAAAAAAAAAATTACCCCATTCAAATTTGCTTGATAAGTTTTATAAAAAAGGTTATCAAAACTTCTTTTGTAATTCGTCTCAGTTATGGAATACAGAAGATCGATGATTATGTTGTTGAACGTACCTGATACCATGGCCTGGTCCGCAGGTTATTTTTGTGGCTAGCACATTCATGGATCCACTTTCTATTGATATACAATCATCACCTGCAAGAGTTGAAACCGAAAGAGATTTAGAAACTTAAAGAAATTCAATGCTTTATCAGTTTTATTATTTTGAAACATGTAGATTAAGAATACCAGTTCCTATAACTGTGTTCGAGATTTGTATGTTTTGAGTGTTTGTGATGTGAATTCCATCAGTGTTTGGGCTGTCTTCAGGTGCTGTCACGGTGAGACCAGAAGCAATAACATTCTTAGATTCTTCGAAGGACACATGCATCTGTTGGCCATTCTTTATTGTCAAATCCTCAACTGTTAAGTAGTTGCACTGGTAGAAAGTCAACGCCTGCAAAGATACAAAACAATTGTTATATTTGAAGGTTAATTGCACCAGGGAATTAATGGATCTTCTTCTGTCACATTCCACCTTTGATATATTATTTTTTTTTTCCTTCTAAACAATTCTGCAATTTTATATAATATTAAATTTTCTTTAATCATACAAATAATTTATTATTGGAAATAATAACTAATACTTTCCACAAAAATGTATATATAATACTAATAACAATAATGAGCTAGATATATATGGTACTAACTCTGATTTTATATATAAAATTGCTTTAATTGGCTACATTAAATTTATTATCTCCTAATGAGTTTTTCCTATCCTCATGAAAGAGAGAGGGTTGTCAAAGAAATTAAATTATCATAATTATTGTTTATTGACGAGAAAATGCAGAGTGTTTTTTTTTTTGTGAAAAAATATACGGTGATAAATAATTGTTTTAAAAAGGATTAATCAAATAATCTTTACGTAGACACCATTAATATTTCAATCAAAGAAGTTGTTGTATATATTTTAAAAAAGAAATTATATACACTTTCTTTATTTAAACTTGAACCCTTTAAAATATGTTTAAAAATAAAATCATAACATAACTCTAAATAATATCTCAAATATTTTAACACTTAAAATTTTGAACATGGAAGATCCATTCTCATAAATTTCAATCCAAATTGAGAGAGCAATACATACCGTAGGGGCCTTCTTGCAAGGCTGCAAATGGAAAAACACAGAAGAATAGTTAGCTTTTGAATATGATATATGAATCAAAGATAACAATATTGTAATATAATATCTTACAAGCTTAGGGTTCTTTTTGCATGAGTTTTGCCACCATATGTTTCCATTTCCATCGATGGTTCCACCACCATTAACTGATAGTTTCTGAACACTGTCGAACATAAGCCAGTGTGTGCGGTCTTCACTGTAATCTGATGGATTATCTGATGCTACAAGGGTTCCAGAGATCTGATTAAAAAAAGAAAAGAAAAAGAGATCATCGTACCTTATAATTAATCTATGTTACTCTGTTGCAGATATTATTTACATATATAATAATTGTAATGCTTTTAAGAATGTTTGGAACTGGAAATTTGAATCTGTGGCTTTCTAACCTGTACTGCGATGTTGGATTTGCAAGGGCCAGAAAATGTGATTGGCTTGAGTAGATAATTTTTCTGCGGCACCACAAAAACTGCTCCTGCATATGAACATGCTACTTCCCAAGCCTTCTTGAATGCCTGAAGCAACCAACCCATATAAGCCAAAAATAATACTTCAAATATTCACTTATATAAATCGTCACTAAATTTACAACATTATGTCTATCGTATACAAAACAAACATAAGAAAATGTACGATAACATCTTTTAAATAAATGATAATCTATAAGAGATAAACATAAAAGAGAATTTTACGTCCGAGTCTCACAAGTTTGAGATAAATTTACTTATATTGAAAAAACTTAATTTGTACTATCTAATTGTCCTAATTTCATTTCAAAAAATACATCTTTTCCTTAAACTTTATGTATAAAATTAAAAGAAAGTCGTTGAAAATAAAACTCCAATTAAATTATTTTGAAAGTAAGATATGCTTAATTGATATTACTAAATATTTGACTCAGACACAGTAAATTAATATCGTTTACCATCAGAAGATATTAATTAAATCACTAAGCACAAATTTGTTAGATGATAATTAAACTACTATATGCTACAATATTGTAATTTATCTTCACCGTTATCATTAATAATAGAAAAAATATATATATTATCCTGACTTGGTCTCCACAGTTTTACCTTTTTTTTTTCAATCTTTTGAGTTGTTATGACATGCTATATCACTATTTTATTTCTAACCTTCCATATTAGTTACATTGATTGAAAAAACTCATCAACATATACATGTGCAAAACATGCAAAAAGACATATAATATGTTGTCATACTTACGAAGTTCGACAATAAATATATATTTTTTGGTGAAACTATATATTACGAAGTGTGAGTTTAGAACATGCATGTGAGAAGAATTTGTGAGGTGAGAATATTTACCAGAGTGTCATCACTTTTACCATCTCCTCGAGCTCCATAATCATTGACGTTAACCATTTTAAGGGAAGAAGAAATGTGACCCAATTTGCCAAAACTCTTAAAGTTGAAAACATTTGTACTCTGCATGATGAAGTTCTTGTCTTTAGGAGAACCCTCATGAAATAACCTAAGTGGGTCCTCTGGCACTGTGCTATGAGCAAAAGAAACCAACATGGCAACAAGAAACAAAAGGAGGTGGTGTTGTCTTGGGAGGGCCATTGTTTCTTCAATTTCCCTTTGTGTGAAAGTGAGAATAGATGGTATCTTGAATAATGGTGTTGAAAGAAGTTTCATGAAAATGGCTATGGCTGATATCCAAGTTGGTGAGGAATTGATTAGAAGTTTGTGTATTTATAGAGAAAAAAATGGAGATGATTAGGTTTTTTTTCTTACATATAAGGATATGTTACGGTATGGGAAGCTAGGGTATGAGTGATTGAGACGAAAGAATCACTAGGGTTCGATGACTTTAATTTGCTCCATACATGCTTGTTTCCACAAAGTTTACCAATGTGTCAGTTCATTTATGTGATATGTATGTCTAATATGACCTAAATATTAATGATAAGTAAATATCATTACTACGTAACTACGTATATGTATCAATTAGCACTAGACACAATTTTAAGTTGGTTTAATTAACTTGAAATTAAGGATTGAAATACTTGACCTAGTTTTCGATAGGCTTCTCATTCATATATAGGCTTTCTATGAATTTCATCAAGTACATGTTTAGAAATCTTCTTTATCTAGTAAAAAAAAATAGAAGAAATGTTTTTTTTTTATAAATTAAAATTAATTTATGTGTACGATATTGGAATAACAAGTCATAATTGTTTTAAGTTATTTGTTTTAGTTTACTTATGAATTAATATTGGAAAAAAGAAATATTGAGAGACTTCTTAAAGATACATTTACCACTTATGTTAGGATTGAGCTTTAAGTTTTTCCTCACGTACAAATTGAACTATATTATTTGAACTAAGTTACCTTCCATTTATATATGTGTTTTAGGTGCAA